GTGCAGGGGTGGAATTGTTTCTGGCTTAAGAGAACAAGACTGATTTATTGAGGCCTCTGCTTGGTGCCACCTTGTTTCAGAGGCCTGGGCTGTGAGGGGTGAGACTGAAGCAGGAGGAAGGATGGTCAGGAGGGTTGAGGGGCAAAGGTGCCAGCCTGGAGTACATAGGGATGCTCTGGACAGCTGTGGCACTGGCGAGAGGGCTGGGCTGGGCATCCAGTGGACCTGTAGGGTGAACTCAGAGAGGTGGCATAGTGCAGGGGTCAAGGCATGGACTATGAGCCACCCCGTCGGGTTTGAATTCTGGCTCCTGCACTTCGTGGCTCCAACCTCTGTTACCCAGCACCTGTAGAACTGAGCCATCTGAGCCACGTTCCCTCCCTGGCACACCGCCTCGGGCTGTTCACTGGCTGCTGCCAGCTCTAGGCAAGGATTCAAGGACTCTCCCAGGCAGATCCCTGCCTCCATCAAAACCCTTACAGTCCAGCTGGGGAGGCCCGACTCACCCACCTCTGCCCACTGGGCGGGCTGACCGCCAAGTGCTTTGATAACATGTGCCATCATCCTTGGCTTCCAAAGCAGGAGGAAGTCACCAGGTTGGCATGGGCCAGTCAGAGACTACTCTGGCTCCTGGTATGGATCTTTGGGCAAGACTTCTTTGCTTCCCTGAGCCTATTTCCTCAACTGTGAAGTGAACTGATCCTATCTGTCTCCCTGCGGGCACTGAGGCCTTGCTGTTAGCTTGAGAGCCAGCATCAGGGGGTTTGGGCTGTAATTCACTTTGGGCCCTGTAGCTGCAGGGAGCCAGGGACTTTGTTGGGATTATCCAGGCATCAGTCCAGCTTCCTGACCTCCTAACCTTGGCTTGGGCTCAGCACCTGAAACAGTGTGGGGAGCTGGTGGGGCTTCTCCCCAGAGCTGCTCTGGGTAAGGGTGCATCTGATCTCCAGGGCGGAGGTGACAGCCTGCCTCACCTGCTTTCTGTTGCTAAGACAAATCTTCAGACCTCAGGATCTCTGCAGTCTAGCCTCACCTCCCTCTCTGGCCAGCCCCTCTTGCTCTGGACCCAGCATTTTCCAAGCTGTCTCCTGGTCCCACAGCCAGCTTGTGCCTGTCCTCCACCCACCAGGCCTGGTTCACACCACTCCTCCCACCCACCCAGCTCTCCAGCCACTTGGAAGGCCTGTAATAGTCTGGGCAGCCACCAAGGATGAGCAAGAACCACTGCAGACCCAGCTCAGCCGCATCACCTCGTACTGTCCTTTCTCTCCCCCAGGTAACCAAGTGCGTGCCTGTCCACCAAGCACACTGTACCACGTGCTAGGCAAGGAAAGGGCTTGCCCCTCCCCACACCCAAGACTGCTCACGGGGACGGAGACGTTTATTAAGTAAGGAGCACTGGGGACTTGGTGCTTTGGGAACCTTGGCAGAGAATACTGGGGTGGGCTGGGCCCTGTATTGCTATCTGACCTCAAGCAAGTTATTCTCTCTGAGCCTCAATCTTCTGCATCTATAAAATAGTGGGAGCAACAGTGCTGGCTCCCCTTTGACTGCAAACACTAAATCAAAGGGCTTAGATAAAGGGCCTGCTGGCACATAGTAGGAGCTCAACAAAGGTCACTGCCCTCAGTTTTAGGAAACTCTGCTTCTGAGAAAGTTCTCATTTTAGGTGTGATAGAAACAGCATGAGCTGTGGGAGTGGATCCAGGCTTCAGCCCAGCCGCCTGGTTAGATCACGCTGGGAAAACTGCATTTTCTCACCTACCCAAGGCAGCAGCAAGGCCAGTTATCTCACAGGATGGTTTAGTAACTTGTGAATATTCTTCTCCAGGCATTACCACCGTCTGCCATGGGCAATGGCAGAGATTTTGTTTTTTTTCACTCCCTGCTATATTCCCACCTGGAACACTGCCAAGCTCAGAGCAAGTGCCCGATAGGTATTTCAAACATGAATGAATAAAGCAAAGGACCCTGCCTAGAAGGTGAAATCAATCAACGTGGATCTCTTCTTCCTGCCACCCACGCCCCCCTCCCTGCTTCCCCCAGCAAACTGGTCTGTGTGGGCAACCTCTGTGGAGTCCTCCATCCTGCCCCTGGCCCAGCCCAGCCTGCTCAGTGCCCACCTGTGTATTTTCTGACTCACCCTAATGTCTGAGGCTGACTTTTAACTGGCTAGCTCTTCAGACAGATTTGGGGTTGCAAGAAAAATCTTGGCTGGAAATGGGGCAAGGGTGATTGGCTGGCTGCCTGGCTGTCCAGCAAGTGTCTGATGACTGGCCCCTAAGCTACCTTCATCTGTCAAGCCCTTTGTTCACTGTCTATATGGCCAGGGAGGAGGCTGACCTTAGCTCCCTTGCTTGCCCCAATGGCCCTTCTCCTGGTTACATGGCTATAGGGCCAGGAATAGGGGATCCTCTACAGGGATGGAGGATGCTGCGGGGATGTGCCCCGCTTTCCAAGTGGGGGTGGTTTGGTCCAGGCCAAGGACTTGTTAGGAGTTAGCCAGTGAGTCTGTGGTAGGCTGTCTTGCAGACACATGCAGTAATCTCAGGGCAATTTCAGAGTCCCAGCATGCCCCACCCCCTCAGCTCTCCCAATAGAAAGCAGCCTGCTCTAGCTGATAACAGGTCCCAGAAATGCCCAGAAGGTCCCCAGGATGCCCTGGGAAGGCCCCTCACCTATCTGCTCCTAAAGTTCTGCAGCAGAGATCCTAACCTCTTCTGAGTATGAACTCTGCTGAGAATAAAAGCTATAAACCCTTTTATCAGAAACACACATGCACACTCCCCACACAAAACCTTGCATCATTTCAGAGGGTTCATACCTCTCTAAGGGCCCAATAATTGAACCCCGTAGACCTGAGACTGAGAAACCTTGCTTCAGCCCTCTCCCAGGTGATCAGCCCCAGGGGTGTGACGGGGGAGGCCCAGAAAAGCAAGTCCCAAGAGAAGGGGCTCAGCGAGTTTGAGGTCCAGTCCCCCCCACCCCCGTTTCTCCGCTGCCCCGGACTCTTCTCTGCTCAGCCCCACTGCTGGGGCCATGGGCCAAGGGGGCTGTGTCCGGGCACAGGGGCAGAGCCCCCAGAATCTAACGTGCCCTGGGCCTGAGTGGGCAGGCTCACCTGAGGGCGAAAATCTCATGGACAGGAAGGGAGAAAAGCTGCCCAACCCACCCACTTGTGCCACTGGCTCCTCACCCGACTCTGGCCCACAGCCAGCCAGCAGCCACTGCAGCAACTGCTTGAGTTCCATGGAAATACTTTACCGCTTCCTCTGCCCTCTTCTTTCCCCAGTCTTGGGGCGCTGATCTTCCTTAACCCTGGGGGCCTGGAGGGGCTTTCAGCTTCCCCTCTCACAGGGGCCTGGAGGCAGCCCTGGGCCTGTATCTCACACCCACAGAGAGACCCTTTTTTCTTTAGGGTCGGGAAACAGCTGGGTCTCACAAGTTCAATTCAGATCTGATCAAGCTGGGATCTGGAGGACAAGGCCCCCTCCTCTGAAAAGTAGCCAGGATTCCAATCTGGTGAGAAGGAAAGTGGGGCAGAGCCAGAAACGGACAGACTGATAATCTAGAAAGTCTGTCTTCACTCTGTAGTCAAATGCCTCGTTGGAGAGGCGAGGACCACAGGCCTTCCTTTCAGGCTTCCTGTTGCAGCAGGCCCTGCCAGAGGGGCGCTGCCTTTTGTGTGTCCAAGCCCCATGGGGAATGTCTGCACTTGGGAGGGGGAAGAGTGGGGGCCTCCTCTGCAGTGAGTTTTCAAACCTTCACTAACGTATGAGTTTCCTGTTGCTACTGCAACAAATTACCACAAACGTAGAGGCTTAAAACCACGCATATTTATTCTCTTACGGTTCCGGCAGTCAGAATCTAAAATCTGTCTCACTGGGCTAAAGTCAAGGTGTCAGCAGGCTGGTTCCTTCTGGAAGTTCTGAGAATCCATTTCCTTGCCTTTTCTAGCTTCCGGAGGCCGCCTGCATTCCTTGGCTTGTGACCCTTCCCCGCATTACTCCAACTTCTTGCTTCTGTCACCGTTATCTCCTGCTTCCCTCTAATAAAGGTCTTGTGATTACACCAGGCCCGCCTACATAATCCAGGATGATCACCTTGTCTAAAGACCCTTCATGACACCTGCAAAATCCCTTGTCATATAAGGTACTGTTCACAGGTTCCTGGATTAGAACATGGCCATCTTGGGGGCCACTCCTCAGCCTACTACAACAAGGCCGTGGAATGGCTACGCCCTCCTGCTGTTTTCAGTGATCGGGAGAGAAAGGGCTGGGGATTTTCTGCTTTGGGTTCAGCCGGGTCCTTCCTAACCTTGTATTTCTAAGGTCTAGGCTTCACCAACTCTCCCCTTCCAATCGGAGAAACTCACTGCCATGCTGCCTCGAAAGTCAGGTGACAAGTCTAGACCTAAGTGCTGGTGAGGGGTGCAGAGCCAGCCAAGAAGCCCCCGAGGCCAGAGGGTGCCTGCTCTGAGCCCCACCCTCCTGGCTGCAACAAGCCCATGGCTGGGAAGGGACCCACAGAAGGCTCTGGGGCCTTCTGAGGGCACCAGGGCGGCCGTGGGACAAGTGAGGCCTGCGAGGACAGCGCATGTTGGCCAGAGCTGAGGTCTGGCTGCAGTGCTGTGGGAGCCAAAGAAGCTGGGGGCTGTGGTCCCAGCCCGCAGAGATGCTAGAGACCATGGCTGGGAGCGGCTCTGAGTTTGGTGAGTGAGCATCTCTGCCTCACAGCAGCAGAGGTGAGGGCCGCAGCAGACAAAGTCCCAGGCATCGGGCTTTTTTTTTTTATTTTGAAAGCGGGGCAGGTAGGGGAGCGGCGCAGGCGAGGGAGGCGGGGCCTCTCTGCTACCTCTCTCCAGGTCTGCATCTGCAGCT